TAATTCATTGGTCCTTATAATTTATCTTATTTCTAGTAAGATTCTTGTAATTTTCTCCTTTTCATTCGATCGATCTTTATAATTTTGTCAATTATGAGCATTTGTCTCTATACTCATAATCTGTTAGTCAGGGTTACTGTGCAATGTCATGTGGATATTCACTAAGTAACCTATGAGTTGCTATGAAACACAAAATAAAAGAGACCTTTTTTAAAATAACATGATGCGGGAGATATAAATAATTTTCCTCTAAATTGTTTAGAGGAACTTTGATGAAGCCTTATCATATATTCTTTCTGATTTTTAATATAAGAGCTAATTTGATATTCAGTTTTATTCTAAATATAACAATCTAATCTATTTTGTTTCTCATATTTACCTATTTTTCACTAACTAAGTAATTCTTATAGTAGTTGCATATGTTAAATGTTTTATCAAATGGTAGTTCTTACAAATGCATGTGATTACTAAAGGTATTTTAGAAAAGACAACATTAATCTATTTATTACAAAAAACTAACTTAACTTATTTTTTTATTCTACTCAAATTAGTCAATTAGCTATTATATTAAGAACAGACAGTAATTTATGTTAAGGGTGTTCGGCTATCTTTAAGATAAGGGCCGATAAAGCACCTAGCCCTAATGATTTCTTTGCTCTTTTTGACTATAAGCATCTTGGGAGGAAGTTAAAAGATGAGGTTTTTGTCAAATGGTGATTTGCTTGTTTTCATGATTGTGCTGATATTACTGGTATTAGTAAGACCAGCATGGCCCTTTTAAACCAAAAGTAGATAAACCTAAGAGCGTGAGTCCTTCTAAATCCATTGAATTAATTATGCAATGTAGTGTACAAAATCATTGCTCAAAGATAATCATGACTAAGGCTGAGAGAGGTTTGATGAATAATTCTCCTCATCAAATGGCTTTTATTGCTGAAGGATTAATTCAAGATAATATAATAGTTACACATGAAGCTTTTCATCATTTGAAAAATAAAAGGAAGGGTAAAAATTGGGAAGTTACAATGAAGTGAGACGTAAACAAGGCATATGACAGAACTGAGTAAGATTTTTTCTGCAAAAAGCAATGAGTAAGATGAGTTTCTATGATGTTTAATTTGAGTTAATTAGATCATGACTTTGATTTATAAGTTTTTGATACGTAAGTGATGCGTTTCAAAGAAGAACGAGGATTGAGACAAGAAAATCTAATGTCTCCTTAATTTTTTTCCTTTTATTAAATTACCTATTGCTTTAAAAATATGCTACCTCAGCTAGCCACCGTTGCAGCTGGCAGCCACATATTTATTAGCATATTCACATTTTTTCTGCTATTCAAATATCACCCCACATTTATTTACCATGACATTTATGTAATTAATAATTTTTTTTTTTCAAAATCAAGAGATATCAATATCTTTTCTTAGTCGGTATGGAATTCTACAGCATCTAATAATATCTAGCAAATTTGACTGTTTTCATATCTTCCGCAACCTGTAATTTTATTTTTTAGGTTTTTTCTAGTGCAATTTTAACCTAAAAATCAGGGGTTAAATTAAAAAAGGGAAAATTGCAAATAAAGACCGTGGAATATATAAAATCGCAATTTGGGTCCTTGAATTTGTATAATTGCTGTCAGAGACCCGGTCCCAAATAAGAATTATGAAATGTTGATTAAAAGTCAAAAACGCCCTTCTGCTTTTTTGCAGTCCCTTGTCTACATGCCCTTACTTTATCTTTCTTCACTTTCCAAGTCGTCTCCCTCTTTCTTCATTCTCCGACTTGTCTCCCTCTTCTTGATGATGAACTATACAAATCTCTTGAAGAAATTGAGGCTAACACCATTAGAAATCTCCTTCTTGATGAAGATGGTCCATCTTTTGGTGTTTTTGATGACTCGAGTTTCAATAATTTACCAAAACTGGTGATAACCTGGAAGATTTTGATCTGTTTGGCAGTAGTGGAGGTATGGAGCTGGAAGGCGATGAACATCTAACTATAGGAAAAGGGGCCAATGGTCCAGATAAAGATCCTAGTTGCTTCGGACGTTTTAAACGGAAACTTTCTTTTGTTGAACATTCTTCTAGAACAATTTTTGTTAGAAACATTAACAGCAATGTTGAAGATTCTGAGCTAAAGACTCTCTTTGAGGTGCTTCTTTATTGTTTTACGTTGATAGATGCTATGCTAGAATTCTTAGAAAGCATTTTAGACTTTGAATCTTATAAAAAGTCAATGCAATTTCTTGTTTGTTTTGACAATAATATGGTGATGTCTGAACCAAGTTTGATAAGTTGTTGAAAAGAACAAATTGACAAGTTCTGATACCCACTTCACGACAAGTTCAGTAATGCGAATAACAAGTTTAGGAAAGCAAATAACAACTTCTGATAAGCAATTCATAGAAATTCGAGTTACTGTGTTAAGATGACAGCATTTTCAGATTTCTTTAGCAGATGACAAGTTCTGATACACAATTCATGACAAGTTCAGTAAGGTGAATGACAAGTTTAGTAAGGCGAATGACAACTTCTGATAAGCAATTCATAGAAATTTGAGTTTCTGTGTTAAAATGACAGGTTCTCATTAGGTTTTCATACTTTTTCTGTTAAAATGATTGGATTTTCACATTGATTTATCAAATGACAGGTTCACAATAGAAAATGACAAGTTTCCATAAGATTTTCATACATTTTCATACTGTTTTTGGCTAGAATTGCAATTTGCATATTTTTGACAGCAACAACTTCTGATAAATATGAAATGACAAGTTTATAATGAAAAATGACAAGTTAAGTATGGCAAATGACAAGTTCCCATAATGTTTTCATACATTTTCATACTTTTTCTGTTGGAATTATAATTTGCACATTTCTAACAGCACCTACTTTTGATAAACACGAAATAACAAGTTCATAATGGAAAATGACAAGTTAAGTATGGCAAATGACAAGTTTTCATAATGTTTTCATACTTTTTCTGCTATGATCACAATTTGCACATTGCTGATAGCAACCACTTTTGATAAACAGTAAATGACAAGTCTACAATAGCGAATGACAAGTTAAGTATGTAAAATGACAAATTCCCATAACGTTTCCATACAATTGTAAATTTTTCTGTTAAAATAACAATGTGCAGATTTCTGACAACAAACACTTCTGATAAACAGTAAATTACAAGCCCATAATAGCGAATGATAAGTTAAGTATGTAAAATGACAAGTTCCCATCACGTTTTCATACAATTATAAATTTTTTTGCTGAAATAACAATATGTAGATTTCTGACAGTAACCACTTCTGATTAACATCTTTTATCATCAATTTCACCTCTCATTTCCTCCTAATGTATAAAATTATAGCACCAGAACTCTCATAAGCCCCTCAAGAAGCATGCTCATATCAACACCAGCGGCAAATGCACTATGATGATCATATCCACTCACAAGTGCATCATCAACCATGAAATCCCAAATGTAAATTGTCATATCATATGAACAAGAAACTATCAAATTCTACATATAAGGTGAGAACTTTATTCATTTAGCACTGTATTTAAGGCTCGTTTGTTTCTCACATCCCACACCTTGATCGATTTATCCACCGAAATACAGTCATCATACTTGATTTCCACAATTTAGAGCTTTTTTGCAATTATCAGAAGTTGGTGCTGTCAGAAATGTGCAAATTGTAATTCCAGCAGAAAAAGTATGAAAATGTATGAAAACGTTATGGGAACTTGTCATTTGTCATACTTAACTTGTCATTTTTCATTGTGAACTTGTCATTTCGTGTTTATCAGAAGTGGTTGCTGTCAGAAATGTACAAACTGTATTTCTAGGAAAAAAAAGTATGAAAATCTTGTAGAAACTTGTCATTTTCTATTATGAACTTGTCATTTTCATAAATCAATGTGGAAATTCAGTCATTTTAACAGAAAAAGTATGAAAACCTAATGGGAACCTGTCATTTTAACAGAGAAATTCAAATTTCTATGAATTGCTTATCAGAAGTTGTCATTCACCTTACTAAACTTGTCATTCACCTTACTGAACTTGTCATGAATTGTGTATCAGAACTTGTCATCTGCTAAAGAAATCTGAAAATGCTGTCATTTTAACACAGAAACTCGAATTTCTATGAATTGCTTATCAGAAGTTGTTATTTTCCTTCCTAAACTTGTTATTCGTATTACTGAACTTGTCGTGAATTGGGTATCAGAACTTGTCAACTTGTTATTTTTAACAACTTATCAAACTTGTTATTTTCAATTATGAACAAAAACTGAAAATTAAAATAGAAATGAAGAATAAAAATCCAGATTTGTTGGGCGTTGTCTGAGCACCAAGCAATCATCGCACACTTGCCGTCGTCGCTGCAACCATCTTCGACTTCAACGCAGAACTCGGTGACAAACTGGAACCCAATTCCCTGTCGAAGCTAGGCTTCAACAATATCCAGCGAGAGTCTTGTTGAGCTTAATTGTTGTTTCCCTTGGCATCCTTCTTCTAAGTCCTGTTATTCACTTGCTTTGAGAAGGAACAAAGAAGATGACAGAGGGAAAAGAGAGAATGAGAGAAGTTGGGGGAGATGGGGTTAAGGACAAGGAAGTGGGACTGGAGAAGAAGGAGAAGGAAGGGGAATGAGATGAGGAGGAGGAAAAAGAAGCACGGAGAGAAGGATAGAGGGGAAGAAAAGGAAAGAGAAGGAGAGGATAAGATGAAAAAAAGACAAGGAGAAGCAGAAGGGCGTTTTTGACTTTTAATCAACATTTCATAATTCTTATTTGGGACCGGGTCTCTGACAGCAATTATACAAATTCAAGGACCCAAATTGCGATTTTATATATTCCACGGTCTTTATTTGCAATTTTCCCATTAAAAAACATGGTAAAATTACAATTTATTTGTTTTTAATTTTAAATAGTCCCAAATAAGGTGAGTGAGCGAGAGTTGTACGGCAGAAACCCGCGCCCTTCCTCCCGCTAACCCTCTCGGCCTCTCCTCCTGGCGCCTCTCTCGGCCTCTGTTCCTCCGGCCTCCTCTCTGTTCGAGGCCTACGAGGTCGCGCTCGCACCGTCCTCTCCGCCACTCTCTAGACTCTCACCGTACTCAGTTACTCACGGCGAGGCTCGAGTTCGGGGGCTCTCCTCTCCTTCACTCGGACGCAACGCTTGACGGACGACGGTCCTCAGCTCGTCGCCCCTTCGCCCTGTTTCCGACGCCACACAAGGTTGACACTTGAATCTCGGTTCTTCTGCTTTCATTCTGATGTAATGAGTTTTTCTACGCCCCTTTTACTTTTATTTAATATACACCTCATGATTACCTGATTCCCTCTGATCGCGAAGCTTTATTAGCTTACTAGCAAACCTAATGTTGACAGTGTTTTTTCGGAATACAGCCCTCTGCTTCTGATTATTAGCTCTCATTCTACTTTTCATATTACAAGTCCAATTTTGTCACTTTTCTTTCTTCCTTGATTTCATCTAATTACTTTTTTTACCTTTTCTGTGTATTTTTTGTGTCTTTGTAGTTTATGTTTATTGAATGTATTTGAGATTAAGCGGAAAAGAAGAGTATTTTGAAATCGTTATACCCAATTGTGTCCAAGAAAATGTGTGTGGGGACAATAGCAATGTTGCATACGATGTGTTTTTTTCCCTTTCAGTTAGAATTTCACGGTGAGCATTGTTTTCCAATTGTTGAATGGAAATCTGAATAAAAAAGTCATGTTATAATGTGTGCTGGTATTAGCGTCTTATGCAATACTACTTGATATCAATAATTAATTGATGTCCCTTTGCTGACTTCTGTGACTTCAGTGACTTCAGTGGTTGTTGGCCTGATTTCTGATTCCAAAAAAAAAAAAAAAAACAGAGAGAATGGCAAAGAAGAAGAATCCCCGGGTTTATATGGATGTCTCTGTAGATAAGGTGTATGTTGGAAGGATGATTTTTGAGGTACTGGTTTTCTTTCCAATACTTTTGAATTACAATAATTATTGTGATACATGATGAGGTTTTTTGTTTTTGTGGATTTTGCAACCTAATGAATTCTTTCATTCGTTCAGCTATTCGAAGATGTTGCCCCTGCAACCACAGAAAATTTCCGTGCTTTATGTACTGGTAATAATTTGATGGTTTTTGCCCTTAGTAAAACTGAGTAACTAACTAATTGAAGAAGCCCTTGGACATGCTAATGTATTTAGATTTTATGACTTATGATACATGTTCCCCATTTCTCACCTAGTTTTCCTCTTTGTTTAGGTGAGAAGGGAATTGGGCCAAAAACAGGTTTGCCCCTACATTACAAGGGTTCTTTCTTCTATCGGTTTCGGAGGGATATCTCCTATGTGAAGGTATATCTTTTACTCTTGTTACCTCTAAGATCATTTTCTTGTATTGTAGATCTACCCATCATGTTGTGGTTGAAGTTGATCATGGCTCTGTAGTGACTCCTTCTTTAGTCTATTATCCTTGTTTATAGTGTAGGATACATGGTTGACGATCATGAGTGCTTTTCTTGAGAAGTAGTTTTAAGTTTGTACTTGCTAATTTATCCATCTTATAATGCTAATAAGTTCCATAATGTCCAAAGCTGTTTTTATGCATTGTGGTATCTTTAACTTTATAATTATAGCTGGTTTTCATTTTGCAGGGCGGGGATTTGGGCGGTCGGAATGGTATGTTTTTGAAGATTGTAGTTTGATACAATACAATTAGTCACTTTCACGTTTTTGAAGTTGTCCATATCATGTTTTTGGTCATACCATCTTGTGTAGTTGTTACTATTACTAATTAAATAAAAACATATTCATTCTTTTTATCATGCCTTGCATGAGTTATGATGTGAATCTGTGTATATATAAGTCATTTAATAGGTCTTTGTTGTATTCAGTTGATCCTTTTCCCTTCTTTTCTTTCCTTTTCTTCACTATTTGAAGCTTAATCCAGTTAGGTAATACTTTGTGAACTATGTTTGGAAGTTGAATATTTAGAGTGAGTTTTTCATCGTTTGCATTAATTTCAAGTATAAGTTTATGGTCCAATGCTCAGTTTTCTATAAATTTCTCCCTTTACATATTTTCTATTTGTACACCTCATGCATCTCATTTTTTTAAAAATATTTTTGCAGGTACTTGTGGGGAAAGCATCTATGGTGTAAATTTCCCGAGTGAGAATGCCAATAATATCCATTTAAGTTCTTACTACATAGAATGCAATAATTTAAAATATTTTCTTCTCAAAGACATAACTCAAAATGTCTGGGTATATATTTTGGTAAAAAGGATATTTACATTGTTCTTGTGATTTATTTCAGATGAGACGCCTATACTTAAACATGATGAACGAGGACTTCTTACCATGAACATTGCTGATCGTTATGGAATTGGGTCACATTTTGTAATCACACTGAAACCAGATTCGGGTCTTGACAGGTTTGTTTATATGTTTAGCATTATGTTCTATCTCGTTTTTCCCTTTCTAATGGGTGGCTGGGGTGTGAATACAGATTGCCTGGTCTTCAAATATTGCATATGTAGAAGTATATAATTTATCAATCCTATTATGTGAAATCTTTGTATAGGTTTCATGTGGTTTTTGGAAAGATTATTCGGGGATTCAAAACATTGGGTAAGATTACAGAGGCGCCTGTGGGTGAGGGGGCAACAGTTCAAGTCTCAGATTGTGGTGAATATGCTAGAGTTGGTATGTGGGTGATAAGTGCAATTTTATATTTATATAGGTGTAGATTTTGAATTTATTATATTAAAACTATAATCTGTAATTTGCAAATATTTTACACTTATTTATATTATTTTAATTACTTTTCTCTTTAAATTTAATTCTTATGATAGGAAGTGATTCTATGAAACTACTCACTCTCTTTTATTTTGCAGGAGAAAAAAGAAAAAGAAAAGAAAAGGAAGAAAAAAAGAGAAGGGAAAAGAAGAAAAGGCACAAAAGGAACAAAAGAAGTGAGAAATAAATGATAAGCTTTTTGCATATTCCATGTCAAATATTGCAGCTCCTGCTTCACAGTGCATATGTTGTATAGTTATTGCTATGATAAGTTTTGCATGGTGAACCACATTTGTTTTATCATTCTACTTATTTGATGATTCTTGGTTAGGGAAAAAAAATATGGATTGCAAAAATAGCAACCTATTATATGATGATTCTTATAATTTAAAAAAAAAAAAAATTGGCCAAAACATGTTGGTCAAATCTAGGATTCCATCATTTCAACTAAGCCTTGACGACGAGAGATCTGAAAGACGTGGTGGTAGAGGCTGAGTGATTCTGCTGTTTTTCGATTTTGTTTCTGTCAGTTGTTTTGCGTTTCTCATAGTTTCTTTATGCTTCGGCTGGAATTGGTGGGTTAGAATTGAAATTGGAATGGAAATCTGGACTAGAAATGGAATAGGAATTGAAATTCATGTTAGATGATTGTTTGGTATGTCATATATCTAAATTCCGCATTGGAGTTGATTTCAATCAGTAATGGCTGAATTGAATTCCATGGGCCGACCCATGGAATTTCTAAAAATTCCATAGAATTCTGTCTTGTTTCTGAAGTTATAGGGTCTTTTAGTATTTAGACATTTAAAAATATTTTTTAATTAAAAATTATGAGTATTACCTGTTTTAAAATCTCATTTTCATATCCATTTTCATTTCTATTCCCATTAAAATCAATTCCGTCATACCAAATGGGCCTTGGTGCCTTGGTGGTTGTAGTTTTGTTGTTTGTTATGAGCTTGAGGTTTTAGTAATTTATACCCTGGACTCATTAATTAAGCCAGAAATCCTATTTCATTTCATATTATTTTTTAATTTTAGTAACACCAAAATAATAAAACTGGGATATGAAAATAATAAGTGAAATGAACAGATGAGCGCACCAGAACTTGTGTTGCCGCCAGCACCAGAACAGCCTAAGAACAGTCCCAACATATTAAACAAAATCACATAGTTATAAGTGAAATATTTAATTATTATCAGCTGCATTATTCTGTTTAATTTCACGCTTTAATTAGAAGCATGATCTGAAAACCCGGGACCTGGGTAAGCTTTATCATCCTAGACCCTACCTGCGGCAGAATTCCTTTTTCCCACGCCATTTGAGATTAGTTCAGGTAGATCTTCCCTTTTTTTGTGCTTGAACCGGATGCCGGATGATATGAATTTTTATGATTCATGAATAATAATTATCACGAGAGATCAAATCAAGTGAAAAAGTATTTTAGAATGTTTTAAATTTCTCTTCATGAAAAAACGAATTATATAATTTTTTTTTCCAGAAAAATATTTTATCAATTGAAATACATTACTTTTATGGTGGAGCTAATGCTTTATCCTTCAATAAAGCTTCTGCAGCTCTTCTTCCTGAGACCAAAGCACCATCGAACGTAGCTGAGATCACATAATCCCCACAGATATATAAACCCGACCTGATTCTCTGATCCTTCTTTAAATTCGTGGGAGGCCTTTGATTGGGCTGAGCAAACCCGACCCTGTAAGTTCTCAAGTGCTCCCATGCCCGAACCGTTTTCTCCCCAAACCAACTCGAAAGTTCTTCCACAACCTGAGCCGCTAAATCTTCATCAGACACGTCCTCATACGACCCGATTAGTGTTACGGATATCAAAGCCTTGTCGGGCGGGCCGTATGATGGAGCCACATTGGTTGCGAAAAACATGTTATTCACTATTCCTTTACCCGACCCATTCAGGAACAGAACCGGATCTTTAACCGGGATTGATCTCGGTCTGCTTTGAAATACAAACAAGCAGTGCTCCGAACCGGGGTCTTCGGAGCCGGACCGCCCTTCCCGCCAACAACTTGACAGCTTCCGGTTCTTCAACCGCCAGAATCACTCCTAGCTCACTCCTCACAACTTCTCCGTTCTGTAATGTTACAGACGGCGATTCGGATTCATCAAGATTGATTGAAGTTACTTTCGAGTTGAACAAGATTGAACCGGAAGGCCGCAACCTGGAAGCAAGTTGTTCTGGAATGGCCGATATGCCCTTGGCCGGAATAGTATTGTCGCCGAGAGCAAGACACTTGAAGATGAAATTAAACAACCTGGAAGTCGTTTCGAGCTCTCTGTCGAAAAAGATTCCGCCGAAAAATGGCCGGAAAAATCTCCCGATGATGGAATCAGAGAACCCTATCTGCTTTAACAAATCAATCGTGGTTGATTCATCAGCACTCAAAATCTCTTCATCGGATTTGGTCAATAACTGGACTCTCGTGGCGCCGATGAGTAATTTGTCGACGACTGAACCGATAGGATTCGCTAGGGATCTGGCGGAGTCCCAGAAATGGCGAAGAGGGTCCGCAACGGTGTGGAATTCGCCATTGTAGAAAATCCGAGCTCCTGAATAGAACCTCTGGAGGTCGAGGCTTTCATAATTGAGAATCTTTCGGGCTTCAGGATAAGCAGTGATGAAGATTTGGAATCCGCGGTCGAGAAGAAAGCCATCAACGGAATCAGTACGGACGCGACCGCCGACGGCGTCAGAAGCATCGAGGAGGAGGAAGGGAATGCTGTGAGAGTTGAGGTGGGTGGCGGCAGCTAAGCCGGCGAGACCGGCTCCGATGACGATGACACCAGTTTTGGGAAGGGAAGGGGTTTGAAGAGGAAGTGTTGTGGTGGGGGAAAGCTGTGAGGAGGATTGGAGATTGAATCTGAAACGTCTCTGGGTGGAGGAAGAACAGATGCAGGAAGGATGAGAGCAGGGGAAGGAGACGGTGATAGCCATTGGATAAGGTTTTGGGAAAGAATTGGGACGTGGCTTTTGGGCCTTTGGAGCGGTGACTGGTGGTAACGCCCGGCGGTGGCATTTTTTTTTTCACATAAAAAAATTGAAAATTCGGATTAGGATTCACATCCTCTTAAAACCTTTTTAATAAAAATAGACGTGTACTCCTTTAAATTTATATTAAGTTTTAATTTAGTTCTTTAAATGTTTTTAATTTTTTAAACCTAATATTGTTAACCTCATTAATAGAAAACACTGATTCAACAACTGACTCAATGATTTTAAAATTATGTGTAAGTATTTAAATGTTGACTTATTAATTTTTCATTTAAAATATTTAAATTAAAAATATTCAAAATAAAAACTTACTTTTATCAACAATTTGTTTAAAATTTAATAATTATGAAATAAATAATTTTCTTTCCTTACTTTTTATCATTGAAAAATTATCTAATTAATCTTTAAAATTTATATTAAAAAATTTTCAAAAATTATAATTATCAGTATTATTATTAACTTTTATACTAGATCCAATATTATTCTTAATTTCATGAAAATTCAAGGGTAAATCGTATAGAACATGTTAGAAAATTTACCCATATGAAATAATTATATTTGACGGCACCTTTAATTAAATTTTATTTTAAATATTTTTTAATTTACATATTTCAAATTAAAAATTAATATGTTGGCATTCAAATACTGAGTTATTATTTTGAAATCCCTGAGTGAGTATTTTCCATCAATAACGTTAATGATGTTAACATTAAAGAATTAAAAATATGCTTTTTTAAATTTAAACCAAATTTGAGTTAAAGTTAAAAAAACTAAAAATATATTTTAACTATTTTTTGTTTTTTTGTTCTCAATCATTTCTTCACCTTAGATCGTATTTGCGTCATGTAGTTAGTATAAAGTCTATTATCAGGGTCTCCACTTAGCATGGCTGCAGATGCAGGGTATGTATTTCTCAAGTCCTAAATATAAAGCTTATTTTATAGTATAAATTATACTATAAAATAGATTTTATATTTAGAACTGAAGAAGTACTTTATATTCAACTTTTTCATGATTTTAAGTTTTGTCTTAACCTGATGATCTCAGAAGGCAGAAGAGTGGCAAGTTGTTCATTCACGAATCAACAATAATTTTTATGCATTGTAAAGAAATACTGCCTGCTGTCCTTGTTTGTATAATAAAATGTTTTAATCTCATAAAGCTGCTGAATTTATTAAGATCTATAGTAGAAGATCAAGGAAGAAAAAGGGAATAAAAGAGAACGATAGTACCGCGTCAGAGGATTATCCCATTGGTCCTGGTTGTGAGAAAAACCTATTCATAACTCGATGATGAACATGTCCCGAATTCATAAAATGAATTCACAAGCTTTGAGCCAACCAGATTCACTGGCTGCATTCTTGAAATCCATCCCAAGATGTAAAATCAAGTCACCACCATGAACCCCCCTTCTGGGAGATAAAAAATTATTGGGCTTGTTTGTTTTTGTTTTTTATTTTTTGTTCTCAAAACAATTTTATAAATTATTTTTTAGAATGAGTTTGAAAAAAAAAAAAAGGTTTGGATGATTATTCTGAAAAATTACATCAGAAAATGAACACATTGAGATAGGAGAGTGAAGTTTGGAGGATAACTTAAGTACTCAAATAGGAAAAAAGTCATCGACCGGAGAAGAAATGAGTTTTCAATTTTTTTTAAAAAAAATAAGAAATTGGAAAAAGCAAAAACAAGCAAATATTTAAAAAATTATTTTGGTTTTTTAGTTTTTAAAAACACCTAATTAAAAACAGATTAACAAACAAGTTTTTTTTTTTTATATTTCTGATGTTCTCAAAACCCATTCTACATAATCAGCTATTGACTATTTTTGTTTTTAAAATTCCAGTAACTACTTTAGTTTTGGTATTGACTACTTTTGTTTTTGAAACTTTAGTAAATTCTTTTTTTTGGCCATTTATAGCTATAGTTTTGTTATTGATTATTCTTGTTTCTCATAATGTTAAACCTTTTGTAATTTCCCTGTTGGTGGAAGAAGAACCCCCCCCCCCGGGTGAAAACCTGAATTCCATTAGCACAATAGATAGAAACACCAATAACAAATAGGAGGGGGCTAGCATCCTTCGTCATCTTCCATCTCCTCCTCAAAAGATGGCAGTTATCAAAGATGCAATAACTCCTTTCTAGCGTATAATAGTATTTGGCAAGTTGGTCAGGCAAGGAAATGTCTTCTCTAAAAGTACGGTTAATCCCAGCCAGCCACTTCTTACAAATAAGTAAAGCTAGCTTCATCTATATCGTCTCTAAATGGATGTATAATATCACAATCCCTAGTCAATAGATTGATAACTTCAATACAATTAGAAAAGCGATAAATACAAGTATAGACCACGAGCCATCCCGATCAGATCAACCCAACAATAGCAGAAGGAACACTAGCGAATTCGCAAGTGAAGCCATAGATCTACTGGTCTCCATATCTCTAATAAGACCACCGGATCTACTTCTACCATTCTCAAGTACAGAATCATCTACCTCCACCTTGACGGTGCCTTCAAGAATAACAGGAGCATTTGTTTCATTCATGTGATTATAAAGCGTGTTTCTTCTAAGAAGGTCTTGACCTGTACCCACTCTAAATAAACTAGCGTGGGCATTCTGATTCTACAAATTAGCTTTAGGGAATGTTTAGGTAGAACCCAAACCATGGTTTTAAAAATGTTTTTACGATATACAAAGAAAATTTGTGAAAGAGTTTGTTTCGTTTTGCGGAAAAGTGTTTTTTAAAAGCACTTTTTGATATTGTCAAACACTCTTTTAGTATCAAAAGCATATTATATCTGGGGACCCAGATATCACAACAAATATAACAAAAAAGAACAAATCATTGAACCTTCTTAACATGACTCAGCCCAAGAATTTGTTTTTTAATAAATACTGGATACCATTGCCTTAAGAAAATAGTACAACTAAAAAACAAAAATTAAAACCTAACTTCCTTTCCTCATCATCTTCTGCCTATTGAAAAAACAGGTAGAAATGATCAAGAATACAAAAATTGTTATCGTTACTCTAGGCAGACTTGGCCAACTAATCAGTATAAGAGTTATCTTAAGCCAAATTTTTTTACATCCACTAAGTCATAATTATGCAGCATTTATTTTTAATAAAAATAATACTCCTCCAGTCCTTAATATAGGACCCAATTGGTGAGTTGGTTTTGGTCCTAAATATAAGACTCATTTATCATATTTATCAATTATCTCTAAATTACCCCTATGGATACCCTTTCAACCATAATTAAGTAGAAGAGAAAGATGAGGTGTTAAGAAATATGATTATGGTATTTTAAGAAAAACGTGTCATATTTCTTATAATTAACTAACTTACCTAACTTCCTTAATCTAATCAAATTAGTTAAATAAGTCTTATATTAAGGATCGGAGGAGTATTATAGATTTTTGAATCACATAATTGAAAAATTAAGTACAAAGATCGAAATGCTCCCGCGAGACCTTGTCAGTTGTCACATGCATTGCCTGAAATGCTAGCGTTGCTATTACTAGAAAAGGGACGAATTCCAAGACAACATTTGAACCTTCAGCAGAAAGATTAGAACAACAGTTATCATGTAACAAATGAAGCAGCTTCAGTATTAGCAAGTGGAAGGATACTGACATTTCTGCATTATAAAAAATTTCTCAGACTGAACCGCATTACAAGTTTTTTATTTCCTTTATGATTCCTGAACGATTTTCTGACATGAAACATGAGAGAGAGAGATAGAGAGAAACAGCAAGAGATAAAGAAAGGGCGAAACTTGTCTAGTCCAACACAAGGAAACAGATCGAGAATCTTTTCGGTATATCTCATCATCACAGTGACGCACTCCTCTGTTCTCTCAATCCCTTTACAAGTTAGATAACCCAAATCCTCAACTCCAAGTCAATTCTCAGAGTTAAAAAATGGCAGTAAGTGATGCTTTTTGTTAGCCATATCATATTGGAGATTGCTTTTCTCCGCCAGGAATTCTGTAAACTAGCCACCCTTTCATCATCTCATCTTGTTCCTCTACATTGAAACCATGCTATTTCTCCCGGATCAAACAGCATGAAAAATACTTATTTCTTAGTTTTCTTCATTTTTCCCTCAGAAATCATTCCTCTTTCATTATATATATGAGCCTGTATCCCCAAAAAATCGAGACAGTTTTGTTCTTTTTAATGACAGAGCTGAGATTTCTTGCTTTTGGTTTTTCAAACACTAAGAGGCTGCTTGGGAGAGCTGTCTGATGGAAAACAATATCAATTTTCCACGCTTCATTATTCTCCTTCCACCTAGTTATTGGACAGCTTCTATGATTTATTTTACATGATTTTTTTCCCTAAATGTTCAAAATGGATTAAGAAAACTTCCATCGATTAAAAATCTATTGCGAGTCTGCTAGTGTTTTAGTTTCATGATAAAAAGGTCATTCTGCAGTAGCGGCTAGCAACTTAGCATCAAGAATAATATTGACTTAAAAAACCAAAAAAAATCGACGAGTAACTTACTAAGAAATATACAACATATGCGGACCTGTCGAAGAAAGGCAGATCCTGCTGGATCAATAAATTTGACATCCCATCATTTGAGTGTTAAAAGAATTTTCTGGAGCTTAACCCTTAATATGCTAAACCAAACAAGCATCAAGAATCTATAAATCTCTCGACGATTTCCTCAGGCAAACTATTAAAGACTGGGAAGCAGTAGCATTGTTGCTTAAATAATGGTACTGTATTAACCACGATACAAGCAAGAAAATTCAGAGGCAATGCAGCGCTTGTATCCTAACTATATGTATATAGTTTCTAAAAGAGAATTTGCAGCAAGGATATCCACCCATCTTAATTTCGTCTAATGTTTCGGCTGGACTTGAGGAATCCCATGATATCTTTGTGGCGTGTTTTAGGTACATGTTTCATCTTTGTGAAACTCTAGTTTTATGAAGAGATTTTGAACCTTTTGGTTTTGGAAGAGATGTCCCTTCTTGCCCTCTCTTCTCCCATTCCCTTAGCATGGTTTTTACTTGCTCTTCGAGGCTGACAAGGCCTCACAATCACACCAGGAGGAACATAATCAGCTGCAAATATATTTCAGACGATGTCACGCAACATTATTATCATCTTTAACAGAACTAAAATTGTCAGAATGAAGTTTACCATTATACGACATGCCACAATTCATAATTTCAATTGGCATGCTGGAACAATACTTTCCAATATCCCTTAATGTAGCCAGCCCTTGCACAAGCTTTCCGAACACCACATGATTACTGCAACAAGTTCCAACTAAGAGGATTAGTATATTAAAAATTTCAACAAATGTAATGTTTGCACACCGAGAATTTTATAGTGACAACCCAACTGGTCATGAGAAAGGGGAAAAAAGCAAAACAAGAGTTAGTTATATAAATGAACCTGTCAAGGCTTTGATCAGCTTTCAATGTGATCAAAAAGTGAGAACGACATGCTTCTAGATCTCCTATTGGCATGGACAGAAGCCCTTCTTTGTCGTGCTTGAGGTTATTTGACTCGAGAACTGAAATAAATCACAATGTTAAAACTCTTCATCGAAATAAATAGACAACAACATCATGGGAACTTTTAAAAAGTATGAGTTCAGGGTCTAGCATTCTCACCTGGGAAATGAGGACCATAGGTACTTTCTACACATTCCCCTGCAAAGTGATTAAAAATGAGATGTAGAGGTGGGAGAGTAGACATTATATCTAGGAAGGAGAAGAAATGATTAGCAAGTTTGGAAAATTATAGCAACCAAGGCATCGGAGCAAATGAAACTTATAATTGCAATTAACATTGCAATTAAGATCATTCAATGAAAAACTTGTATAAAAGTAAAACAGTAATTTATATAAATTGACGGTTTACATCTACATTGTAGTGAGTGGTTAAACTTAGGATTTCCAAACAGATACACTATTTGACCACTAATTTAGAAATACATCTTAGGTAACAACGTTTTCAATTGGGGAAAAATGATCACGTTAAAATCCTCAATTGCTAGTCTTAATTCAATCTTACTGTTTAAATAGCAGATACAGAACCTACTCAAAATCAGTATATCAAAATGTAATATAAAATATATGACAGTAATTAGAAAGAGTTAGAAATTGCATCGATAGAAATTGACTAAATGTGAGTGAGTAAATGTATCGTATCAAATTATAAACTTAAGAAAGCAGTGAAGTGTGCCATGCTAAGGTCAATGCATCAATAGAAAACTTACTAGTTTCCCAACCGAAAACACCCCCCTGCAAAAGGAAAAGTAGCTATAAGTCCATAGTCTCGATGGCAAGTGGCAAAGAAAACGGTTTTGGAAATTAAAAAAGCCTAGTTAGTATCATGAGATGGACAATTCAGAAAGTACACGCTCAAAATTCTACCAGTACATACTTTCACATAGGAGCCACCTTTCCTAACCTTCTGAAAGAAAGTATTTGGGTAACGCAGACGCTTCCTAGTTTTTGGACTGACTCCCTTTTCTCCTAAAAAGAAAGAAGATTAAATGAGGAATGGGGAAGTCATATCATAAACCATAAAATCAAAATAAATTAGCACATCCAAGGGCTCGTTCAATTAGTGAGACTGTAATTGCAATACAGGAAGGTTCTGCTAGGGGGATATTAACGAAATCAGATTATTACCTGTACATAGAGCACGGAAGTTTTCTGCAGTGAAGGGGGCAATGTCATAGAATAGCTGGGAGGACAAAAGAATTCATTAGGTTCCGTTTTTACTCTCATAGTCAAAATTGCAAAATTCAAAAGATAAAAACTTCAAATACCTCAAAAACCATCCTTTGATGGGGGCGCTCATATATACGGACATCCATAAAAACAGGGAATTTCTTGTCCTCTGTCATTGTCTTTCTTTCATGACGCAGGGACAGGACACCACTCTACACGACGGACGAGGCAGGGGCAACACACCGATAGTGGTTCGCCGGAGAAGAAGAGGCGAGATCGTTGCTGGGTGAGGGTGGCTGTTTTTTTGTTCCCCGGGGGGGGGGGGGGAATTAATTTGCGATGGCAGCGTATCTGTCAAGATGAATGACTTTCTCTCTTTTTCCCTTTAACAAAATAAATAGCCTTCTTATGTGTTGTTATACTACCTCTAATCCTCGACATAAAAATTAGTTGATTAATTTATAAAAATTAAAAAATTTATTAAGCTAATTATTTGTAATAAATAAATACTGTTTTTTTTAAAATACTCTTACTAATCATATATATATTTGATAAAAATTTTAAAATCCACAATTACTATAAGAACAACCTTAAAAAATAAATAAATATAAGAAACAAAATAAATTGAGATCTTATATTTATGATCAAATTGAAATTTAAACTAGCTCTTATCAACAAGAGGTAGTATTAAATTATTATAATATTTATTCTGTTTAGTAGCCCCTCCAAATTACTAACCCATAGTAATATATCCTGTTGAATTTACGTAATGCGGACCAAAAACGTAATTTTATGAAATAACTATGAATTTAAATTTATAAAATAACTTCTAAATTTCAGTTCATTTTATAATTTCCAATTTACCTTTTTTTCATGGATATCTTAATTCTTTTGTATTATTTAAGTTTTAAATCTAATTTTAAAAAATTGTAACTCCTTTACTCATCATGAATTATTTCTATTTGTTTTTTGTTTTACATTATATATTTAAACGTAAGATTTTGAAATAGGAAAATGACAAAAAAAAAAGAAGTTGAAAATTACTAAATGCCAAATGAGGAATGTCAATAAAAATTTGTTGTCATTTGCAAATTCAGTATTGTCAACAACAAATAAAATGTTATCACCAAATCTGATTTGGGATTTAGTAATTTTCGGTTATCTTTTTTGTGATTTTTCCTTTTGAAATTTGTTCAATGAGTATAAAATAAGGAAAAAAAGGTCGAACCAGACTGGACCGCTGATTCAACCAGAAAACCGGTGAACCAGCTTAAAGTCCGATTTGATGTAATAGTTAGGCAGGGGACCAATTGAACCGGTAAAAAACCAGTTCAACCGGTATGGAACCGGGTAATCCCGATTGGCTGGGTTACCTTTTTTTTTTTTTTTTGGATATCTAGAGAAAAAGGGAAGAAGGGGGGAAGTGGAAGGGGTCCAGTGAATAAACGATGGAAAAGAGGAAGAAGATAAAACATATACTAAAAAGAAAAATAGTAGAAATAAGAACGAAATCAAGAATTAGAGAAACACGAGTGAAAAAATTGAATGTCTCACTTATCTATCATTTGAATCGTGCTTTTGGTTGTTTCTTCTGCTATAGCTGGTAAGAAAGAGATGTCTAAGAGCAAAAGAATTTGAGAAGTGAAGAAGAAGCCATTTGTTAATTAAAAACGTAAGTTTCCGAGGCTTCACATAGGGAGATGGAAAGTAAAAAAATTCCACTATGGATCTGCTTTAAGTCTGCACCAAGTTCGGTCACCAATGCATGGGCCTATGATATGCCCAAGGCATTGGGAAATTTTAAGTTGAATTATTAATTTTTAAATCAATTCAATTAATACATTGTTTATTTAAATATTATTTTTTATTATTAATATAAACATATTTATAAATTTTTAATTAAATTATATTATTTTAATTGCAACTAGTTTAATATCCGGTTCAATTTTTTGAATCTTGCTATTTATTATTTATCAATTATGTTATATTTTAATGTTATGAATTAAATTATATTATTTTAATATGACCGGTTTGACCTTAGTCCAACCAATATCCCTTAACCCACTGTTTTGACCGGTTTAGTTACCGGTCCGGTTTTTTATTCCTTGGTATAAACAGCCACACATTCTCAAAGATTGTATATATTAATACAACACCACTAGAAAAATCATTTTTTACACCGCTTTATTTACCCTAGTTTTTACGCCAACAATATAACAAATGAGACGGGGTAGTATTTTTATAAATAAGGATACAATATTTACGCCGGTTATCAGTGAGACCAGTGTAACATTCAATATTTACAATGGACATTTACTCAACCAGTGTATAAGTAACTTTCAAAACATTGGTTAGTGTAAACAATTGATGTTTGAATTGAACAATCAAGCTTCTCTTTCGTTTACTATCCCCCTAAAGTAACGTGTTCGAGTTTGAAAGGTCATCATGTTCTATCACCGTCTATTTAAGATCAGAACCTAACTATTCTTAGCTGCTATTGTCATTGTATTCCATCGCCAATAACCCCACAATGGTGAAGTGCAGAGAACTCTCCCAGTGTGTTTTCCATTCCCTCCTCTCCAACCTCCCCTGCCTCTCCCATCGCTTCCTTTGCTGTCACCTCCCTTGCTTGACAAGCTACTTAGCAAAGTAGCTGTGATTGAGCGTGACCCTTGCCGTGTCGTCTCTAACTACTATGCCCTCAACAACAAACTCAACATCCTACTTGATGACCGGGACATCGAGTATGACATCTTGGATGACTCTTCTAATAAATCCTCTGACGATAATGAAGAAGAAGCCCCTCCTCCTTCTATTCCTCTAGCTAATGGGGAAGAGGAGCTTTTTTGTTTGTTTTATTATAAAAAAATGTAATCTTTTTTTTTTTTTAAATATTTTGTCTGGGCCTTTGCGCCCATAATCTTAACATATATAAAGTGTAGCTATTTTGTGATCTCTAATTTATTTATTTTGTTTTTGTTTCGGAAAAATCCCTTAAAAAGATACTTTAATAACTCAAATTCTTATTTGAGTCGTTAAATTTTTCAAATTCCTAATCAGGTCACATAACCTAAAGAGGGATTTTAAAATTTTATGACATGACTTTAATACTCTATTTATTAGAAATCCAGAGAGATGAGAATTTGTATCATTCTCGTGTTGCCTAAGAACTTTGAATGAGAGAAACTTAGCATATAACATTGCAAATCGAAAAATTGATCAAGTAAGTAGTGGTGAATTAGTTTTTATATTAAATTTTCCTCCCTTATTGCAAGTGTGTTATAAAGATAGAATGTTGTTAATTTAGAATAGAAATGTACTAACTGTAAAATAGAACGTGTTAATTTTCAAGATTGTATTGTGACCAAGTTTTATTCAAAGACTCATTACAAGCGTGTTATATAGATATAAAGCTGTTAATTTAGAACTAAAACTTGTTAACTACATAATTGAACGTGTTAATTTTCAAGGTTGTATAGTAATCAAGTTTTACTGCAAGTGTGTTATGGGGGACAAAAAGTTGTTAATTTAGAATCGAAACGAGTTAATTGTAAATTATAAAATGTTAACTTTTAAGGTTATATTATGATCAAGTTTTTTCCAAAAACTTATTGCAAGTGTTTTATGCAGATAAAAAGATGTTAATTTAGAATCGAAAAGTATCAAGAGTGAAATAGAACATGTTAATTTTGAAGATTATATTATGATCAAGTTTTATTCAAATATTTATTGTTAGTGTATTATGAAGATATAAAGCTTTTAATTATTTAGAATTAAAATTTGTTAACTGCATAATTGAACTTCTTAATTTTTCAAGCTGTATTGCAATAAATAAAATTTTATTAAAGACTTCATGTAAATGTATTATAAAGATAGAAAGTTGTTAGTTTAGAATTAAAATATGTTAATTGTAAAATGAAATATGCTAATTTAGAATTTTCTTTTAGTTTCTAATGAAAGGGGCATTAAAGTTATTTCATAAAGTTTTAAAATCCATCTTTAGGTCATATGGCCTGATTAGAGATTTGATAAATTTAATGACCTAAATAAGAATTTAGGTTATTTAGCTGTCTTTTTAAGGGATTTTTCCTTTTGTTTATTGTCATTTCTTCGCATTTTACTGTTTCTCTCTCAATAACAAACCCTAGCTAAAACTAGAAAGCAATGCTGGTTTAGAGAACAAAAACTAGTCATTTTCTCAATTTTTGTTGAACAAAATTTACACCAGTTGTGGTGAAAATTGATTTAAAAATCAATTTTAACACTAACCATCAACATATTCAATATAGTAACAAATATTTACACCAGTTCTCCTTTGTCTAATGTAATATGCATTTTTGACACCGGTCTCTATGTATAACCAATGTTAAAAGTTTGCCCTAGCTATATAAAGGCTCTGTTATGCTCAGTTTTGTGGCCTCCAAACACTCTCGCAGCGTGTGTCGTTCGTCCCCCTTGTTGTTGCCTTTCTATTCTCGCCGTATGTAACATTGTCGCCATTTTATTTCTCCATTAAACTATTTACCTAAACCCTAATACTTGTGCTCATTTTGTTCGAAATCTTTTTTGGTTGCTATTATCATCACGAGGTTTCCGTCATCAATGTCCTGGGGTTTTTATTGTTGACAACATGATGCACTCCCTCTCGACTTAGGTAACTCATTTCTTTGCTCATTTTTGCCGTCGACATTACTGCTTATGCATTTATTGCTTTTTATTATTGTTTCTTAACTTCCTAGTTGGTAACTTGCTATTTGTGCGTTAATTTGCTGTTCTTATATTAGCTAGTTGTTAAGTTGCGTTACACTTTGTTTTTTTGAGGTTTTTTTTGGTTTGGTTGCTTTATCCCCAGCTTGAGAGGGCTTGAGTGGTTTTTATGAGTGTTGGACATGTGTGGATTAAAATTTAAGCACGAAGTATGCTTACGACAGATGTCCACGAGCTTTAGTAAAGTTGAATGTTGCCACCCTTGAATTGGGTGCAAGATTCACTAATCCTAGGCATAATATTTTGATTGTAATAAGCTACATTTCGTATGGTTGAATTATAACTAGGTAGGGGTGTTTGCTTGCAAAGGAAACCAAAACCTTCAGTTTGGTTTTCTTGGCGACCAAAACCTACTTCACTTGGTCATAATCAATCAATTGACTTCATTGATCTTGAGAAAAGAAATGACCTTCAACTCAAAGTAGACATCCAGCTAAATTTTATCCATGAAATTCAATATTAAAAAATCATTTAACCCCTTTGGAGGTAGCGAAATAGAACAACCAAGCCAAAAAAAAAAACTTTCAAGAGACAAATGTCACAATAACAACTAACTAGTATAAGAAAAAATAATTAATTAAAACAAGTCCACTTCTTATAGGCTTTTTTTTTTAATTTAAATTTCCAATACTTACATTAGTTTGTATTAAAACCAGTGTTAAAGGCATCGTTTACTACACCGGTTAAACCCGCTGGTGTAAAAAAGTTGGGATTTTTAACACTAGCTATTTCTATACTGGTTGTATTGTCGGTGTCAAAGACCTATTATAACCGGTTTAAAAGACTTTTTTTTTTGTAGTGCCAGAAAATTCTGATATGATCATGTATCAATTAATCCATTTTAGGTAATCAAAATCATGATATTTTAGCAATTTTGGAAACTGTCATCCAAATTTGATGTTTTATAATTATCTCTGTATTATATTTTTTGAGCAAAAATATATCTATTATATTAAATAATGAAAAATATGTGTGTTGCAGTTGTAGTTGATGCGATATTTAAGTTAAAATTTGAAATAAATTAAAACAGTTTAGTTTTTAGTTTAAAATTTTAAAAATGCGCGAGTAAATTGCGATGATGTAGCCACATCTATCGGGAAGTTATTACAGCAGTGGGATATTAAGCACTAATTTCAAGTCTAAAATAATACACCGGTATAACTTTTGAAAAAAATAATTAACTTTGAAGCCTAAATATTTTAATTATAATAATCTCTAATTAAGAATGTATAAAATAAAGGACAATAAAAATGATACTCATGACTATGTGTGATTGAAGAACTTAACATAATAGATATAAAAAGAACTTAACCTAAGCCTTTTTCTATAATAAATTCATAAAAAATAAGTTTATTAGTTAATTTGATAATTGTCATAATGAATATAAATAAAAACATCAGTGGTTGAAATACTTTCCAGTTTTCTGTGAACTTATTTTTGTATATTTAACATTATTTATTATTAAAATTTAAATGTTAATATGTCAGCTGTCAACTGTTTTATTATTTTAAAATTTATGCAGATATATTTAAGATTGGAAATAATTGTTTAAGATCACATTACTCTGTTATGATCTAATTTTTAAAATTTAGATGCTTAATTTTTGTGCTAATCCTCAATGCAATTATTAAATAATATAATATTAAAAGTTGTTGCAAAATTTAAATAGGATAAATCCTAACCTTAAATCGAATCACGCTGCAATCATGCCACGTGTGCATTTGCGTTGAGTCCGAATCAGAAAAACAACGTGTCGGCTGATCGTGCGAGGAAGTTAAAAAATTACTAAAGAAGATTTTGCAGATTTATTGTGAAGCCTCAGGATAAGTAGTGAATCTTGGAAAATCTTGTCTCTGTTTTTCTGCCAATACCCCTGATTTTGTGAGGGAATTATAGCTTCTGATATGGAAGTTAGGCTTATGGATCACAAACATTTGAGACTCTCATTCCCAATGTAATGGGAAAGATAAAAAATTACTATTATAGCCTTTGTGAGGGATAAGGTGGGAATGAAGCTATATGACATCTTTACGGTGTGGATGCTTAAAAATATTTTCAGATGTTAGGTGTATTTTTATCCTTCATCAAATTATCTTTTCTTTTAGTCAAAACTTTATCAGACTACCTATCATTCAGAACACGTGTGACCGCAGCTAGTCAACCTTGCCATTGGTGGCAGGCGGCCACATATTTATCATCATATTTATATTTTTTAGCTGTTCACTGCAGATCATTATATTTATTTACCATAAGGTTTAGACAATTAATAATTATTTTTTTCAAAATTAAGAGATATCAATATCTTTTCTTACTGGGTATGCAATCCCACAGCATCTAACAATCCATAGCAAATTCGACTATAATTTTTGGCAACGTATTTTTTTTAATATATTATACTATACAAGGTTTATGGTCTTTATTTGCTTTTATTTTAGACTATATTTATGTCAATTTTTTTATATTTAGTACGTCCAGTTGTTTAATTGCACATGAACATGTATTTTATTTTTAAAATATTATTATTAAATTATTTATATGAAAAAAGAAGATACTATTGATGGGTGATTAAAGATCTTGACTATCTAAAGAAAATGATACAAGTATTTTCCTTTTATTTTTGTTTATTTTTAAATTATCTCGAATGATAAGAGTAACGTTAGGTTAAGAAAGGGTAATGAGACGCATTAAGTTAGATAAATTGACAAAAAAAGAAGATTTACTCCACGGACCACACATCAGGTTTCCCTTCTCCTTATTTCAAATTTTCCACTTCACAGACTACAGCCGCATTCTGCTTCAGTTTGTGCCCGCCGCAAGCGCGGCTCACTCTTCGGCCTCCATATCCGAGTTCGCCACAAGCGCCGCTCACTCTCCGGCCTCCATATCCGAGTTCGCCACAAGCGCCGCTCACTCTCCGGCCTCCATATCCGAGTTCGCCACAGTCAGACTCCACAGCATCGGTGGCAGCGTCTCCTCCTCCTCTTCCTCCTCAATCCTCACGAGCCACGTCGACTCCCAAGCCACAGCTCTGATCGAGCTTGAATGGTCGGACCTCACCAGCCACAGCATCGCCGGCGTCGACTCCTCCTCCTCCTCAGTCCTCAATCCTCATCTGGCTTGTGGGTCATCAATAGCTAAGCTTCCTAGTTCCTACAAAATTAATAGGTAATCTTCCTAGTTCCTTCAAAAACATCAATATATGAAACTCTGAAGCGCTGTGTTGGTTTCCTGTTACTCTGTTAGTCATAAAACTGATCATCCACCCCTTGTCTCAGAGCATTCGGCCACCAGCCTTACCACCTTCATTGATTTGATTTAAAAATCAATATTAAACTTTGTTCGCTGTTACTTTAGTCATAGAACTGATTAATTTATACCAATATTAATACATAAACCTTTGGCTATGATTGTGAACTTCTCCATTTGTTGTCGATTGCGCTATATATAAAGAAGGATCATGTCAACTAAATAGTAAGATTAAATTCAAATAAAGCGGTATTGGTTTTTATAATTCTAGATATGCTACCACAAAATTAAATCGAATAGTAGGATTAAATTTGGATAAAGTAGCATGCTGTTGACTTTTTCTGGATTGGCAACAATGATGAAGAAGATAGATTTGGTGCTAATAGAGTTCACACAGTTTTTTTTTTCCCAAAATGTTATGTGTTGTTGCATTTTTCATCCTTTAATACTATGTGCTGATACATGATTCTTTTATTTTTCCCCCAATAGATTTGGTGCTCGAACAAGATGAAGAAAATATGTTGAAAATTTGATGATTTGCAACTGGTGGTTGTACTTTTATTTGGTGTAACTGTAATCATAAGAACAGTGTCCAATTGTGTTTTGAATGTATAGGAGATTAAGCAGAAAAGAGAAGTGTTTTGAAATGATTAAACCCAATTGTGTCCAAGAAGGTGTGTGTGGGGACAATGACAATGCTGCGTACGATGTGTTTTTTTTTTCCCTCTTAGTTAGAATTTTACAGTGAGGCTTGTGCTCCAATTGTTGAATGGAATTTTGAATAAAAAATCAGGTTATAGCTAGTATCAGCGTCTTCTTCTTATGTAATACTACTTAATAATTAATTGGTGACCCTTTGCTGAATTCTGTGACTTCAGTGGTTGTTGGCTTGAGTTCTGACTCAAAAATAGAAAGACGATGGCAGAGAAGAAGAATCCCCTGGTTTATATGGATGTCTCTGTAGATAAGGTGTATGTTGGACGGATGATTTTTGAGGTACCGGTTTTCTTTCCAATACTTTTGGATTACAATGATTATTGTGATACATGATGAAACTTTTTGTTTTTGTGGATTTTGCAACTTAATAAATTCTTTCGTCTGTGCAGCTATTCAAAGATGTTGCACCTGCAACTGCAGAAAATTTCCGTGCTTTATGTACTGGTAATAATTTGATGGTTTTTGCCCTCTAGTAAAACTGACTAATTGAACAAGCCCTTGTACATGCTAATGTATTTAGATTTTATGGCTTATGATATATGTTCCCCACCTCTCATTTAGTTCTCCTCTTTGTTCAGGTGAAAAGGGAATTGGGCCAAAAACAGGTTTACCCTTACATTACAAGGGCTCTTTCTTCTATCAGATTCTGAGCGACATCTCTTATGTGAAGATATATTTTTTAACTCTTGTTACCTCTAAAGATCATTCTCTTGTATTGTAGATCTATCCATCATGTTGTGGTTAAAGTTGATCATGGCTCAGCAGTGATTCCTTTGGTCAATTATCCTTGTTTATGTTGTAGGATACAGGGTTGATGGTCATGAGGGCTTTTCTTGGGATGTAGTTTTAAGTTGTGCTTACTATGTTATCCATCTTATAATGCTAATAAGTTTCATAATGTCCAGCCTTTTTGTATGCATTGTTGTATCTTAACTTTATAATGATAGCTGGTTTTCATTTTGCAGGGCGGGGATCTATTCAGTCCATGGGGTATCTTTTCTATTGTTGCATTTAAATTGGGATGACACACTTATCTAGTTTTTCAACATTGTAATTTGCACAATATATTGAGTCACTTTCACGTTTTTGAAGTTGTTCATTTCATGTTTTTGGTCATATCATCTTGTGTAGCAATTACTATTACTAATTACTAAATAAATGAAAACATGTGCTTTTTTTTTTGGGTCATGCATTGCATGTGTTATAGTGTGAGTCATTTAATAGGTCTTTCTTGTATTCAGTTGGTGTTTCCCTTATTTTCTTTCCTTTTCTTTACTGCTTGAAGCTTAATCCATCTGAGTAACACTCTGTGGATTATGTATGGTAGTTGAATATAAATTTTGGAGTGAGTTTTTCATCGTTTGCGTTAATTTCAAGTATAAGTTTCATGTAGTCCAATTACAGTTTTCTATAAATTTCATTTTTTTCCCTTCTTACACTTCATGCGTCTTATTTTTTAAAGAAATATTTTTGCAGGTACTTGTGGGGAAAGTATCTATCGTGCAAATTTCCCAAGTGAGAATGCCAATAATATCCATTTAAATTCTTACTTGTGTGAGTATATATTTTGGTAAACAAGGTATTTACATTGTTCTTGTTATTTATTTCAGTTGAGATGCCTCGACTTAAACACGATGAACGGGGCCTTCTAACCATGAACCTTTGTGATCGTTATGGAATCGGATCACATTTTGTAATCACCTTGAAACCAGATTCGAGTCTGGACAGGTTTGTTTATATGTTTAGTATTATGTTCTGCCCCGTTATACTCCTTCTAATGGGTGGCTAGGGTGTGAATACAGATTGTTAGGTCTTCAAATATTGTATTTGTAGAAGTTTATAATTTACTAATCCTATTACTTGGAATCTTTGTGTAGGTTTCATGTGGTTTTTGGAAAGATTATTCGGGGATTCAAAACATTGGATAAGATTACAGAGGCGGATGTGTATGAGGGGGCACGGGTTCGAGTTTCAGGCTGTGGTGAATATAATCTACACGAGACTAGACCTGGTATGTGGGTAATAAGGGGTATACTTTATATTTAAATAGATGTAGATTTTGAATGTTATATTAAACCCATAATATATAATCTATAAATATTTTACACCTACTTAATTCATTTTAATTACTTTTCTTTTTAAATTTAATTCTTAAGATAAAATGTGATTCTATGAAATCTGTTCATTCTCTTTCTTTGCAGGGAAAAAAAGAAAACGAGAAAAAAAGAGAAGGGAAAAAGAGAAAAGGAACAAAAGGTACCAAAAAAGGGAGAAATAAATGACAAACATTTTGCATATTCCATGTCAAATATCTCAGCTCTTGCTTCGCAGTGCGATTGTTGATAAGCTTTGCATGATGAACCGCATTTTTTTAATCATTCTATTCACATGATGATTCTTATAATTTTAAGTAAATTTAGTCTAAACATTTTGGTCAAATCAAGGACTTGCACCTAAGATTTTTTAAAATGGGGTTTCCCAAATTTGACCATTATTATTTGTTTTTTGTTTTAGTTAAAAAAAAAAGAGTTAATATTTAAGCTTTAGACGTGTAAATTGGATTTGGATTCTCTTCACTACCCTTCCCGTTCTCTTCCCGTCCATTATTTTTTTTCCCTTTCACAATTATTGGATCAAAACTTCAATAGTCCAAATTTAATATTTTATAGCATTTTATAAAAATAAATATTATTATAAAAATAGATAAATGAATTTAAACTGTTAAAATTTAATATGAATAGTTTATAGTTACAGACTGTTATATTAGCAAATTTTTTTCAATTTTTTTAATACAATTGTGAACTGTTCAGATCAGTTTTTAACAATTTAAATTTATTATTTTTTTTGATAACATTATTTTTATAAGAGGTTAAATCTGGATCATTGGAATTTTAATAATATTATAGAGCAAATTATTGATGATAATCCCTTGACTTCCAATTTAAATTCCAAGGCAAACATAGAAATTATGCATGTATGCATTATAGAAATTATATAATAATCAAAACTAATCAAGCAAAAGCATTCCACAGGTTAAAAAAAAAACTTAGGTTAAATTACGGATGATTTAAAAGTTTTGACTTAGAAACATCAGGTATAGATTTTATATAAGTGCATATTTTATATTTAAATGAGTATAGATTTTGATTATATTATATCGAATATGTAATCTATAAATATTTTTCAGCTACTTAATTTATTTTAATTATTTTTTGCTTTAAATTTTTTCTTTCGATAACAAGTGATTCTATGAAATGTATTCATTCTCTTTAATTTTGCAGGAGAAAAGAAAAAAAATGAGGATGAGTAAAGTAGAGAGTAAGAGAGAAAAAGAGAGAGGAAACAAAAAGCACGAATGCTGCAGTTCCTACTTCACCGTCCATATGTTGTATCGTTATTAATTGCTATGATGAGTTTTGTGGAAGAGGATGTCTCCACCAGCCCCTTTCTGCACTTTTCCTTCGCTTAATATTTTTATCATTAGATCAAATTTTAATGGTTAAAATTTATTTTATAAAGATATTATAAAAATATTAAATATTAAATAATAAAAACTATATAAATAAACTTATACGGTTAAGTGTTAAAATTTGATATAAGTAGTTTAATGTGATAAATTTTTATAATATTTAATATTATAATAATATTTTTACTTAATTTTAAATCTCAACCATTATAAGTTAATTCAGTGATAAAGAAATTAAGTGGAGAGAAAGTGGAAAGAAAAGTTAGTAGAGATATTATTCTTCCAAGTTTTGCATGGTGAACCACATTTCTTTAATCATTCTATTTATTTGATGATTCTTGGTTAGGGAAAAAAATATGTATTGCAAAAATAGTAACCCGATCAAAACAGTTTGGTCAAATCAAAGACTTCAATTAACACTTTTAAACTGGCGTTTTCCAAATTTGACTATTATTACTTGTGTTAATATTGAGAGATACGTTAGGTAATACTACTCTTCTGGGTTTGTTGAAATTTGATTGGCAAAGAGCAATATATATCTGTAAGAATCATAAAAGCAAAATACCAGAGAATAACCAGAGCGAAAACAAAACATCTGAGAAAGAAGAAAAATGATAAGGGAAAGGATGTTAAAAATTTGGCCTTGCAATGAATAAAAAGAAATCAAACATGTTTTAATTTTCTTTTTTAGCAAATTAAAAGTATCCAAAAATGTAAAGTTTACATGTTTTTTCCTATCTAGATTTTACTTCTAGAAAAACCCAAAAAATACCTCAAAGATTTCAAAACATCAAATTAGAAGTAACTACAAAAATATATTGTTATTTTTTTTAAATGTTGTCAATTATTATTAAAATATAATGAACAATACTAATTTAAAATTTTAAAATTTAAATGTATTTTTTTAATTCTCCCTTTTACTTTCCCATGCGATTAAAAATGATAGTCATATACAACTGTTGATAAGGATCATAATCTATATATTGCAAATTTACAATGCTAAAAAATAATTAGCTGCCCTTATTTCCCAAAACATGTAAATTTGGACAACAGTGAGGCAGAGAGACGACGATAAGAAAAAAACATGCCTCGTTGAGAATCAAAGTGAAGAAGCCAGCTTGCGTGATGGGATTGCTATTCCTACGTTCTGGAATATCTATCCGCTGCTATTTGACCAAGATTATCATGAAAATGGGAAAGTGCCATTTAATTAGCTTGCTCAGCCTTTTGTTTTTTGCGTCTTCTTTCTCTGATTCATTTATATGTCAATCGCATGGGAGGCCTACCAGTAACCTAGGTCAAGGAGGAATCTGCTTGTCAGGCTTCACTTCTGTGTTTTTTAGTGAGAGAGAGAAAGAGAAAGAAAACAAATTTCATTTAAAGGGTATTTACTACCACTGCAATAATTTTTTTTCAAACACATCTTAGCTTTTTAGATTGCTGTTTTGCTCTCTTTTTGTCTATTATTTATGGCTTGTGGATGGTGAAGAGATCAGATTGTGACGTTTAAATAATAAATAGATAAATAAATACAAACATAACAGAAAAATGTTTCATAAATTTTGAAATCTCCAAATAGTCATCTAAATAAGTAAAATTTCAGTGTAGATATAAGCTGCCAAATTAGGATTTGCAAGTTTACTGAAATAACCGTATTGTTTTTTTTCCCCAAAAAACACTAAGCACCCCTACTTGTTGGTCAATCAAGGAGCTCCGATAGCTAGCCAGGGCTGGCAACTATTTTGTTAGGTATTTTTTCAAGTCCAATAATGCGATTAACAAATTTTTTAATATTGGTATAACAGTTAATAATAGATTTTTTAGAAAATTTAAAAAGTGATATTTTTATAATTTTAGCAACACAGTTAATAAGTTCTATAACACCGTTAATAAGTTTAGTACAGTAATTAACAACAGATTTTTTAATAAAATCAAAAAGTGATATTTTTACACCATCAATAACTTAGTTAAGAAATCATGGAACGATATTAACACCTCTCATACATTTGGTGTTAAGTTGAATGTGATTTGGTGATACTTTTATACCATTGTTCCACCTAAATGTGCCTTAATATTCGAACTCATGAGCACCTCTTTTTTTATCCAAATTTCTTGCAATTGAGTTGTGTTGAATTTGCTGATTATTATTATATATATTATCTAATTTTCAACTTATGATCAAATTTCTCTATCAGAAATGATCTCGCATGGTTGCCTGTTAGCTATTTCCCTTTTCATGCTATATATCCTTAGGGTGGCAGTGGAATAGCGTGAATGCATGTTAAGATGTTACTGTCACGGAGAGGACATTATGTTTTGATGCAGTTTTCCTATTAATAATATTTTATTATATGTTTGTGTCTGCTTTAATTATATAAGTTAGTTAATTAACTAGAGTTAGTTATAAGAAATATGACATATTTTTTTAAAAACATCATAATTATCTCCTACTTAATTATATTTAAAGGAGTATCAATAGGAGATAATTTAAGAAAATTTGATGAATATGAGATGTAAGTCGCATATTTAAGGCTAAGAGTAACTCAAACAGTTAAGTCCTTAATAACATTAATACATAGTGAACTTCTCATTATTGGATGAATTTCATGGATGGTTGAGGGATATTTTGCACAGAAGCTTATTACGGTCTTGCTTGCTTAATTGTTTCTGCATAATGCCAAATTTATCACATCTAACATGTCAGAGTGGGCAAAAATAAATGAGCCTCCTGTTCTTCTGACAGCAATCTTAAATATTATTGCTGTTTGAAGAGTTTTTTAAGCTTGCTTGAACATGCAAGACAGGGTCTCTTAATGATTCAACAAAATTGGATATAGATGATGGATTAGCTTTTTGTGAGCCTTCCCAATGCAAACAAAAGAATAGAAACTTACTGTTAATATGCTTTTTCAGAAAAGTTGATAAGCAAGCATACCCGAAATTGCACTTAAAAAGGATAGAGGACCATGCCCCTACTTGAAGGATCTGAAACGTGCCCAAAATTGCCCCCAGAAATTAAAGGTTTAAGGATGCAAATTTGTCCCGATACTTCCTATGTTCAATGTTAATTTTTTAAATTTATGAGGTAAATTTGTACCAAATTTCTTTATCATTCTATTTATTTGATGATTCTTGGTTAGAAAAAAAATGTATTGCAAAAATAGCAACCAATTATACGATGGTTCTTACAATTTTAAAAAAAATCTAGCCAAAGCATTTTGATCAAATCAAGGACTTCAACTATGATTTTTAAAATGGGGTTTTCCAAATTTGACTATTATTGCTTGTTTTAATATCTATGCTTTGATGATGAGAGTTGAGAGATGCGAAGGATGTGGTGCTAGAGGTTGGGTGATTCTGCTGTTTTTTGATTTCGTTTGTCAGTTGTTTTGTGTGTTTCTCGCAGTTTCTTTAGTTGTTAGTAGTTGTAGGTTTTTGGTTTGTTATAAGCTTCACTTTTTAGTAATACATTCCTCTTTTTGGCAGGAAAAAAAAGGGTTAATATATAAGTTTCAGCAATTATAGTTACATGTAAGTTATATGAA